AGTTGTCATAAGAAATCTGTCATCATTTCATATGTTCAAATGAAAGCCGATGGAACAGGATTCAATTACTTGCATCTACAATGGGGTAATTCACTGGATTGTTTTAGCTTGTGACAAATCAGCATAAAGATCTTTGAACAATAATGAGGGATTATAGTAGGTCTCTAAAGCAGAACTAAAGTAAATCGTTGGTTAGTTGCACAAACATGTACTGCATACTTAGGAAAGAAAGGGACTGAGTTGTGGGAGAGAGGATGGTAGCAACAGTCTTCCACCACCTACATTTACTTTGGAGATGTTAAAAGTAGAGGTGCTCTTGATTCTTCATGTTTGCTTTTTGAATGTTTAACACAGTAAATCTTTTGAGAAACTTAGAGATCAGAGGTGTGGTATATTTTATTAAATGTTTTCCACATCATCTGAATCACTTTGATAGCTCTATTAGTGCCTGCAGTGTCCTGACAAGGAAGGCAAGAGGATTTTTAATTTTGTTTCCCTCTTCCTTCTTCCCCCTCCCTGTTTATTATGAGACAGGAAAAGCATATTGGATTAAGAAGCATGGTTCAAATCTTTTCTCTCTTATCTTTTTGCACAGAAGTCTGGTGTCTTAGGAGATATGTATAATTTCCTCAATTTATTATAAAATTGTGTGAGTTACTTTTAGGCAAGGTTAGTAATCAAGCCCAAGCCTGTAAATGGAATGTCTAACCTCTTTGACAGTAACGATGACCTTTCTCAGATGGAAGGGGTCACATCAGTTTCTCTGTTGACTTTTTGTCTAGGTGATACACTGCACTCGCCTGAGGAAGAACCAACTGTTTCTGCTCCACAGCAATGTGCTGTTGAGTTGCCAGTCTCTTCAATGCGGTGTCAAAAGTATGAGATACGTCCGCAATGGCTGGACCACATTGTAGATTAATGTTTTAGTTGAAAAGATGGATGTCTGTATGTGGATGTTGAAGTCCAAGAGAACAGTAAGCATGAAATATTGTACACAGTAGCATGAAGTCAGTGAGGATGAACTAAGATTTCTTTTACAAACAAAACTTTTTCCTGTATTACGTGTGATGTGATTTCACATACCCAACTAAACTCAATTTCAGGCATTTCAATCTGGCAAGTGATGGAAATTTGCCTTTATGTACTCTTAAATTATAAAACCGACACACCAGTTCATGTTAGTCTTTGTTTCACCTAGCTTAATCTGTACCGCTCCCTTTTGTAAACTAGAAGGCTTCCTGTAGCCCTCTTTTTCCCACAGTGTTGCTGCTGAATGTTTTGCAGGGCAGAAAATGGTAGGTAGGGATAAGACCAGAAGTTCTCAGTGTGGTAATGGTAGCTTAAGAACAGTGGTGTCTCTGATCCTTTGGCAACTGAAAAGCTCCACTGTTGTATTCTCTTGGTCTCCTGCTATGCGGAAAGCCATACATTTGCATATTCTGTATTTGTATTTTTTCTCCAGGAAACTAGTACTGATGGTTAACTGGAATAACTCTCAGGTTTGTGCCTTTTATTCAGCTGCATTTGGTGGATGGTATATCAGGGTATGACTACTTATAACATTTTAGGAACTCATCCAAGATTATCAGCTTTAGTGAGAATTTAACGGTAAAGTTTCATGGAGGTTAAAAATGCTAATACTTCCTTGTTGCAATCCTGCTAAGAGAACTCTTGCTGTTGGGATTACATGTGAGATATGAATTCCAAGGCCGGGCTGGACGGGGCTTTGAGCAACCTGATGTAGTGGAAGGTGTCCCTGCCCATGGCAGGGCGTTGGCACTAGATGATCTTTAAGATCCCTTCCAACCCAAACCATTCTATGAATACAAAGTTTAGAGATAAGAGGGATCCTATACAAAGTGGATGAATCCTGCAGCTGTTATTAAGGGCAGTAGTTCTGTTTTAAAACTATGGCTGAGCACAAAATTTTGCATCTCTATTAAATATTCTCCCTGCTCAATAAACCTTTTCAGTATGTGTTGGAATCTGAAGCATGTGCTTAACTGCTTTGCTGAATTGGGGCCTTCATTACCTAATTGCAGGTGTATGTTAGCTTAAGTATTTAAGAAAAAAAAAAAGTAAAACAATGCTTATTTTGTTCAGTTTAGTTTGTTACATTAATAGAAAACATCAGAAATGCTGTGCTGTTGCTATGCTGTCAAAAACAGATTTAATATGTTAATGGCATGAGTGTGCAGTATGAGATAGGGTCCAGTTAAGGATTAACATGGAGCGATGAAAAGAAAATTTTAAAAATGAAAGTGAGATTCTACTTTCTGTGCATAATATTATTTTAGAATGAGGCTCTAAAATGTTTTCCTGTTTAAAAGTGTTTCAATGATATTTTGTAAATTCTGATGTGAATATTAGAAACATTTATTATATGTGTGTTATAGCTGGGCCTCTGTAAACATTTCCATAATAAACTTCTCTGTATACTAGGGCTTAATAACTTGCTCATAAAAATGTGCTTTGGGCATAGAAGTGGTGTACTGGTCTGCCAGAAAGCTTGTGCTTTAAAAATAAATAAGATTATTTAAAGAGTGAGATTTAGAAGGAAACTGAAGAAAAAGTGTGCTGTACCTAACTCATTCCTGGTAAATATTTGATCAATAAGTTCTTTAATAAATAAAAAACCTGCTACTTGACAAACTAGTTTAGTGTTGAGCTAATCTTTCTGGTATTCTTAAAGTCTGAATCTACTTTTAAGTCTATTACTACATGAAGTGTTCATACGTGTAATGTAGATAAAGCATTTGTTCCCTATTTTCAGCTACATCTCTTAGGTTTGAGAACTTGCCTGGCTTCTTTAGATTTTTTTTTTTTTCTTGCTAAATTTAAGCAGACAGAGGTTTGAGTGTTTCTTCATTAAACTTGCTTTCTCAGTCTTTGATAATTTCAGTTATTTCCTTCTGGAAAGTCTCCCGTTAATCCCATTAATCTGTACATTTTCTCAAGAGTAGTGTCCAAAGGTGGGTAACATTGCTCTTAGGCGTTTGAAGAAAGCAGGAGGATTATCCTTCTGTGTATTCTGGGGGTGATTCATTCTTTGATGTAAGTATCTATGCAATGGCTACTGTATAGAGGCTATTAAATAGAGTACTATTTAACAATTCCTTAACTGTTTCTTTTGCTGCCTTACTTGGGGAGGAGAAGATATTGCAATAAACGGAAGAGGGAAAGATGTTTAGAAAGGAAATGAATATTGATTTTTAGCACAGCTGCTAGATATAAATTTGTGTAAACGTTGTCTTGTATCAGTTTTGATATGCAGACCTTTAAATATGCTTTTCTGTAAGAGAAGATAACAGACCACAGGCCTTTTATAGGTAACAGTAAAATAGTTATTTTAACTGTAAAACCTGGCTTTGTTTCACTGGCGTTTTACTGAAAACCAGGCTGGCTGAGAGCTATTGATTCATACTTCAGTTTTGTATGAAAATTTTCAAAATAAAGATTGTTGTATTTTCCTGATGCTTTACTCCATCTGTAATTGGAGAAATAGGCTGAAGGATTGTCTGTATTTTTGCTGGCTCTGCAAATTGTTTCAGAATAACCTCTGTGTTGTTTATGTGTTGTTTATGGGATGTTTGCACTCTGAAGCAGAACCACTCATGCAGATGTGCTTTCCATGCAAAAAGTAAATCAGCACTTTATAAAACACATCAGTGTAATAGGGTTTGTATTACTGTGGTGCTTGCTACCTGTGTAGTCTTAGTAGTCCAAAGCATCTTTGGCACACTGAAGTCCTTTATTGCCAGTCAGACATGTGGGCCTGTAACATGCTATAGGAATTGTACACTAGAGGGCTTTTTCCTTTATCCACCAACATAAAATTAGCTTTAGCTACATTATGCTAAATGAGACCACCAGATCTTTGCTCATCTTTGTGAGACATTCCCTTATTTAAAATATAGGACTATGATGAGAAATGGGAGAGAAAAGCAGTGAAATAAGATACATTCTGGTTTATTATAAATGCTATGAAGTCTTTATTTTTACTTAGCAGTGCTGCAGAGGAGCTAGGAAGTACTTGCTTCTCTTGGCAATGTGTCTTCTGACCAAGGCAAATGTCACAAGTCTAGATTCAGTAGGTGTTTGCTTGCATGTTTGTTAGCTTTGAGATTCTTTCAGAAAAGTTCACCTTGATAGTGGGTTTTTTTACCTTTACATATATATGCATAATAATATAATTTGCAGGTAACAAGGACATATGGGGTATGGTCTGGATTAGCAATATATAAATTTAGTAGAAGGTTCTGGTGTTTACTAGATTACAGTTTCAGATCGCTTGGGTTTCATGTAATACCAAGTCTGTAGCAATCTACAGTAAAATTCAAAATTAATATTGTGTATTGCGAAAGGCAGACTTTTTAGTAGGTACAAAACTTCATTCAGGGTATGACCTTGGGTGGATACGTTAGCATGAGGATAGATATTCTGCAGTTTTCTTTTTGTCCTTGTTGGATATAAACTTAAATCCCTCAGTGTTATTTCCCATAGCAAAGTGTGTGAATTCAAATGAGAGACATAGTCCCTTGAAAATAAGAGTAAGAGAAAAATAGAGTTGAAAAAACAAGCCAAGTAGGGTGAGCAATATTTGTATATGTATTTTTAGCTATTGTAAAATAAGACTTCGAGGTGGAGTGTGGAGTGAATCTGAAGAATTAAAATGTGAGAGTCCCAATTTCTTGAATGTTTCTTTCTCTTATATTTTAGCTGTATTATCAAGAAATGGAAAGTAATTAGCTTCTAGTGATGAAGTAGTTGAATGAAATCTGAAAAAAAAACCCCATGTATTATTTTTCTACCTTCTGACTTGTTTTTCATTCATTGCCTAGTACTCTCACAATGCTGAAGATTCCAAGTATGTTCTCTCAGAGACAGTCAATCTGTTTGTATTTACCAGACACGGAATGTTGTCACTGTATTATCTAATGCTGTTCCACAAACATTGAAAGGATAACCAAGTAACTATTATTTCTCTGTTATCTTTAAAGGGACATCAGAGATGGCTTCAGAAGAAAAAGTTTCTATCCTTCTCATTATGTGAGAGAGCGATCCCCTCATAAGAGGGACTCTCCTTTCTTCAGGGAATCACCAGGGAGCCGAAGGGATTCTCCTCACAGCAGATCTGGCTCTAGTGTCAGCAGCAGGAGCTACTCTCCTGAAAGAAGCAAAGCCTATCCTTTCCACCAGTCCCAGCATAGCAGAAGTATGTCATCTTTACATAAAAGAAATATTTCTTCTCAGCAAGGTAATGCTGGATTAATGATGAGAACTGGTTAGTGAGCTAAAACTGTAACTCACTGTATAAGCATTTTCTTTTTACATGCTGTCTTTTACAATGAGAAAACTAGACGTTTTTTACCACTGATGTGTTGTTTGCTCTTTGGTTGTTTCACTGTACTCTCTGTTCCCTTATGTATTTCATGTGGGAGATTGTACGTGTTGTTTCAGTAGCAGCTCTAGATTGACTGTTTCAGCTGCACAGCTTTTTCTAGTATTGTATGTTATTTTCCTTTTAGCATCAACTGCTTCTGTTACTTCTTTATGTGCTTCATTGGATTCCTTTACAAGAAACTTTGCTGTCGTCTATAGCAGATGAAGATTTTCCTTCGTGCAGCCAGGGAAAAGAAGGATTAAAAAATAGGAGAAATTAAAGTACATACTGCTATTTGTTACATTTTCTGAAGATGTTCTTAGAACTGTATTATTAGGGTTTTGAAGCTGGTTGTTTTTCAGCAATTTTACCTCGTCAGGTTCTCTCAAATCTTGCTTTCCTCAAAGAAATGTAAAACATATCTCAGTTAAGTCTATACTGTGTATGTTCTGCCTTTTAAAATCTTGGCTGTTAATCTTCCCCAGGAATCTAATGAATCATTTGTTTTGAAAATATTTAATGTTATCAAATTTAAATAATTTGAGGGGGAAAAAGGCAAAATTGCTTTTTTTTTTTTAAATATACTACAATCTTAGCCACTGCTGTTTGTATGGCTTATGTAAATTAATCCAATTTGATTTCCCTTTCTGCAAATGCTTTATAGTGACCTATACAAATCTACTGTTGATTTTGGCAGCTTTTTAAAAATTAATTAGATTTTTTCATTTTCACTGATAGGCATATTGTGCATTTCCAGAGTGGCACACTAGACCATCATGTAGCACTTCTTGCCAAAAAAGACTTTCTGGAGTTTAGTTAACATTGTTTAAATATTGAGGAATCATTTCACAACTTGTAGAATACAAATTATCTTTCTAGCTCATTACTGCAATTCTTTTAATATTGTGTAGCAATACTCAACATGATTCCTCTAAGTATAGGAGAGGAAGAGAAAAATATGATATTCAACTAAATTTTAGAAGTTTTATAGATGTGCAGATCATAATTACGAGGTACGGGAAAAAGTTGTTATGATAAACTGTATAAAATTTTGGAATGTTTCAGGGTTTTCCTAAAATTTTGAGGTGACTTCTATCCCATTTATAGTATATTGGCAGAATTACTCAAACACTTGTGGAGGTAGTGAAGTAGAAGCAGACATCTTCACAAACCAGAAGAGAAGCTGGTCAGGAGAGGAGTTTATATTTAGGTCTGTGGCTTTGGGGGATTTTTTTTCCAATTGCATGGTTAAACACCTCTCCCCATTATCTTCAAATCAGTTTTAAGAAATGGCTTGTACACTGGATTATTTATTTATAACTTCTGGTTTGCTAGAAAATAGCACTAGTAAACTGTTCTTCTAGATGATTGAATTAAAATGGCCTATTTGCAAGGTATAAATGACTTTAATACTTTTATAATCGTGTTTGAATATTATTTAATATAATTTGTCTTAGGTAAGCTCATATATTACATATTTAAAAGGAACATAAAGTGGAACATATATATGTCAGCAGTACATTTTAGTCTGTACTTAAATGGATTTACAACATGCAGAGTATATACTATGTCATGCAGAACTTACAATACAGCGTCTTTTTTTAATATCATAATACTGTTTAAAATCATTCTGTCTGAATCAGTTTGGCCTGATGACTTTCACCTGGAGTACTGTGTCCAGCTCTGGGGCCCCCAACATAAGACAGACATGCACCTGCTCAAGTGGGTCCAGAGGAGGGTCATGAAGATGATTAGGGGGCAGGAGCACCTCCCTCATGAGGACAGGCTGAGAGAGTTGGGGTTGTTCAGCCTGAAGAAGAGAAGGCTCCAGGGAGACATTACAGCGGCCGGCCGGCCAGTACTTAAAAGGGGCTACAGGCAAGATGTGGAGGGACTCTATCAGCGAGTGTAGTGATAGGACGAGGGGTAACAGTTTTAAACTGAAAGAGGGTAGATTTAGATTAGATGTAAGGAAGAAATTTTTTAATGTGATGTTGATGAGACACTGGGGCAGGTTGCCCAGAGAAACTGTGGTTGCCCCCTCCCTGGCAGTGTTCAAGGCCAGGTTGGACGGGGCTTTGAGCAACCTGGTCTAGTGGAAGGTGTCCCTGCCCATGGCAGGGGGGTTGGAACTAGATGATCTTTAAGGTCCCTTCCAACCCAAACCCTTCTATGAGTCTGTGATCCCATGCTCCTCCAGTACTTCATAAATTAGGATCAGTAGAGGATTTGAACAAAGAAACTGGGGAGTCATAAAGAAACTTGGTAAAGGGAGGGAAAAGGCTAGAGGGAAAGGACAGGCATTCAGGTGTGGTGGGAGAGCATGGAGAGACAGGATGGTATTCCTACGCCAGACCAGCTGATAAGGTGTCTGTAGAGGGGTATGCTGAGGAGAGGCAAGAAAGCAAGTAGTTATTGGAAAATGCCATGTTTGATTGTACAGGTTGAGCTTGTGGGTTCAAAATAGACACATGTATTCAGAAAAAAATGGCCTAATAATGTGTCCAAATTAGATGGTGGTTTCTCTCTCTGCTTAACTTCAAATAAATTACTGTCACTTGTATCAGCTTTTTTCATCTATTCAAGTGCAGACATATAATCCACTCAACTGAGATAATCTTTAAAGAATCTAGTGTGATGTACTGGGTCTGAAGGAGGTATGTAGGAGTTACAGGAGTTATAGGAGTCTGTAAATTTAAAAGGAGGTGGCTCATCCATGGGGCTGAAAAGTATGTATCACAGGAACAAAACTTCTGTGTCACTTGATGGTGTCCGGGGAGACCTTCTGTGCTTTGGGGAGTGTGAGAGCTTAAAGACATGATTACTTTTATCTTCATGTTTTTGTCGTATACTTTGTATTTATAGGAACTTATAATTTTTCAGAGTTTTTCTTTTTGCTATTTGTTTTAATTGTTAAAGAGCTTTTTTAGTTAAAGGCAATTCACAGTTCATCTTTTGTTTTACATATACTAGAAATTCTGAAATAAGACTGCTTGCTATGTTTTTAAGCATACTCTCCATTTAGCATCATTTTCAAATCGAGGGTTAAAGTGCAGTTTGGAACATTTGTTTTCCCCAGAGTAACTTCCCCAACTATGTTCAGTAGCATTTTTGACAGACCCATCAGTAGCTCTGAAGATTTTTGCATGGATTAGCAAGCCTTCAAGGTCATAGCCCTAACTCACTTGCCTCTAACAAAGTGCAGAGATGAGCAGGTCTTTATTCTTTGCTTTGTATTAAGTCTGCACTATACATATGGTATGAAAACCTAGGGAGAGTCGAAGACCAACTTTTCAAATACTTCTTAAACATGTCCTGTTGTTAAAAGCATGCATTTTGCATAGATTTTTTCCTTAGATTTTTTCTGTAGATAATGGTATTTTAAAATACACAACACAACAGTCTTTATTTTATGACATTGAATAAAAAAAGAAAATAGCCTAGCTATTAGGAGCGAGGTGCCATGTTTGCTCCTTACTCCTTAAATGAAATCCATGTTCATTTATAGTGCTACTAAAAGAATTTGTTCCAATTTTTATAAGTATTTGATAGACCTTTTAACTCTTTTTTTTTTTTCTTAATTAATACAAATTTAATGGGAGTCAAGGTAAGTCTATATTGTTTTCCATTTGTGAACAGTCAACCATTTCCCAGTGAGTGTAAATAGTCTAATTTAGGCCTACTGTCAACACATTTGCTTTTCATATTTACCTTTTGCAGATCTGTTAGATGTAACCCATGGAGCACAGGTTGAAAACCAGTAGTTTACACTGAAGCCAGTTCTGCAGGCTGCCTGTAACCCATCTTTGTCAAGGCTATGCCCAGGCTGTGATTAGCACAGTGAATTTGAACTGTCGTTTTGCTGATTTAAACTCTTATGAGAAAAGCACTGATAATACAAAGAGCATTTAGCTTGTGAATGATACAGTATAGGACTGTTTCCCATGGAAGGGTTTTTCAACATACTGTGGCCTGCTAAACCAGTTCTTTTACTGCCTGGTTTCCTGGAGTGATTGACTGGTGTCTAATATTTCCCCCATTTATATTATTACAGGAATATTGAAAAGTAAAACCACATCACCTTGCTAAATCATATTGATAGGCCCTTTCAGTTATGGTTGAAAAAAAGGACAGTGGGTTTTCCTAAATATGTGAAATAATGTAGCTAATATCTTCTGTCTTTTTAAAGAGAAGTGTTATCAATATTTATCAGATGGCAGAGCATGTAGATTTCATGTCTGACTGGGGTGAATTTCATTGCAATTTTCTAAGAGAGTAATTGTATTTGAACATATATCTTTAATACAACTTCAGAGTTGTTAATTTTTTCTCCATTGTAGGTAAAGAGAGGACATCAGTTCAATCACTGAAAACATCAAGAGATGCATCACCTTCAGGCACCACAACAGTACAGTCATCAAAGGTGAATTTTCTTTTCAAGTACTTCTCACCATGGTTTCAGATTGCTCATTGTTTCATTTTTTCCTCAGTTGGAAGGAGATACTGTATGCAGCTGTTAAGGAGCATCCTGAGTTGCTCTGCAATCCAGCAGAGGATAGGTTTCCCTTATCTGTCAGGAAGGTGCTGATAATGCTGTGTATCTAATGATGACACCAACAAACCTTTTTATTCTGTATTCACTGGCTCATTTTAGGACAAAGGGAGTTTTGTATGTTTTTAAAACGGTCATTTCCAAAGTCCAGAGTGTACTAGAAAAGGAATGGCAAGGAGGAAAATGGGGAACCAGTTTTTAGGAACAACAGATCAACTGGACAAGCCTGTACTTGCACTGAGCTCCATCCTTCAGTGATTCCTAAGCTGTGACTAGATTTGGGAACAGTGTGGTGAAGTGTCTGACTGGCTGGGAAGATAATGTGAATAGCAAAGTTGGCTTGGAAGCAGGGCTGCTGGAGGATGTGGCAATAATGATAGCATTTACTTGGGAAGGGATCCACATTGCAAGCTAGTTTGGTAAATGTTGTTTTATGTTCTAAATGATGCTATTTAATTTCCCATCAAATCCTGTGGGCTGAGCACCAACTATATGATCTTGCTAATTAGTTAAATGGACAGGCTAATGAACACTAATGAACAATCAGCATTCAATATTGTTCTGGCAGGAAAAACATTTTCACATCACAGGGCACTTATCTGTAAATTATATTTGAGGTTAAAATAAACACTTCCACAGGAGTATTTTCTCTAAATTGTTGAGAAATACTTTAATGAGAAGTAAAGAAACAATGCATTACATTGTTCTAGGTACATAAGTTTGTATTAAAAAGTAGCATTCACCATAAGTAGCATGGTGTAGTAGCCTGGATCTTGAGGTCTTTTTAATAAAAGCAGTGAAATGCTTGAACAAAAAAAAAAAAAAAAAAAAAAAGGGAAAAAGAAAGGTACTTTTTGTTGTGAGAAGTTGAGACTGAAGGAAATAATTAGGTGGGGAAAAAAATCAGGCTTTGGTTGTTCTATGTCATTCTTATCCCTTAGGCAGCTCTTTTAGAACTGCTGTTAGGCATTAGCTAATTACCAGTGTCCTTAAAGGGGGAGGGAAGCGATATACTTTCAGTGATGTAAATCAAGAAAGTAAGATAAAAGGTGTTATGGACAAGTTACACCGATTTGGATTATAAAATATATAATTAGTCCACCTATTTTGCTTACAGACTCAGCATACTACAGCTTAATACCAAATCCTTGCTTAATACAAACCTTTGAGTACAAGGAGGTATTGCAAAATCTCTTGCTCTTGTATTAATATGCAGTATGAGCTTGAACTTTAAAATATTCTTTAAATGTTTTGTTTTCTTCAGTCAGGTCTGATTTATGCTGTATTGGTTTGGTGTTTTTTTTTTGCCTTTAGTTTGCATACATCTGCTGACAGTGGATATCCACTTAATGTAAGCTACACAAAATGAAACTTCTCGTTCGATGGAAGTAGTTTTTCCAGAAAACACAAATATTGTGTATTTATCTGGTGCAGAAATGGAAGTACTTCAGTGATCTTTTATTGCTTTTCTGTTGAAGTCCCAAAATCTGTGTGTGTAATATACTGACCTGTGTCAGTGGAGCCTCTTGGGGTAGTGGCTGTATTACACTGGACTGTTAAATTATGTAAGTGCTTTACTGACAGAAGTATCAACAGAAGAGGTCTTGGCAAAACATGAGGGCCAGGGTCTTACTATCTACTTAGACTTGAGAAATTAGTTATATATTTTATAGATTAAAGGAGATGATTTTCAATGCTCTGAGTTATAATTTAGCCTTGAAACACTTACAAAGATATATGCTTCTGCAGCAGTATTTCTTTTCACTGTAGTAACTATATGCAAATCTGAAAAGATATTCTTATCTGTCTTATAATTAATGTTTTACATATTAATGCATGTGAATTAATACATGTTGGTGTTATCTCATCTTAACCACCTGTTTAATTGACTGTGGCATGAAAACGTTTGTGTTTTCCTTTAATAGCTGTCTGAACTGCAAGCTTTGGAGGCTCTATCCAACGTAATTAGAGCAAAAGGCAGATGTGTGAGACAGGGAAAGCTTCCTGGCAAAGACAGCAGAAAGCTAACAGGTTTTTGCTGTTCTTATGTTATGCTTAAGGTCAAAAACAAGAGAGAAAAAAAAAAGACACCTCTGAGGCGGGGGAGGAAGTTTCATTGTTTTTTATGAAATATGCTAGGTTATTGGTTTCTTTGTAAGTTTGACGTTTAAGTAGCTGCAGACATTTTCCACTGAGAAATATGTTCCTGTTCTTTGTTGTATGTACCTGTGGAAGTACCTTATCACACAAAATGCACTCAGGATTTTTTAATACCTATTTATTGACATGTGACCTATAGAATTAAATTTAGTGAGATTAAATCAAACAATGTTTGTGGTATGCCAGTAGATACTAGCGGTTGGTTTCTGTTTATGGCTTGTGAAAATGTTGTAGGTCATGTGAGATTTTATTTCTCTTCATTTCAAGCAAAGCTGACTGTTGATGAGAAAGGTATTGGTCTTTTCTTTTTGTTAGTATTGGCCAGAGCTAGATTTGAGGAAAGGGAGAGATGCATAACAGAACTGCAGTAGACTTTTTTGGCAGCTAGGGAAAAGTCAGGTTAAAGGTAGAGTAAGGCATACTGTGGAGAATAGGAACATTGGGAAGAAAATTGGCAGCAGATAGTTTGTAGTGAGACTACTGTAAGAATAATTGCGTAGTTTGGAAAAGTGAGCTGGCCTAATTATTAATTATATTACCCTTTTCTTTTAAGAACCCCCTTCGTACCCCTGCATTTTGAACTTTGTCACCTCCTGATTTTACCGGTTATAATTCTGTAATTTACAGTTATAGAAAAGAGGGATCTCTATTTGAACATTGTATTGCACTTCTCTTCTGGATTCAGATAAAGGTGGTGTCTTAATGACACATAATCCTGTAAGGGTTCAGTGTATTGTATGCTTGTGCCATACTACAGCACAGAGACATTTGGATAATATTTTACTTGAGGTAAGCACAAAATGTCTGAAGATTAAGTAGTCTTATTACAAGTCACAGTATTTGCTTCCACTGGCCATTTATGTCATTTAGAATGAACTAATGGTAAGAGGGTGGAAGTATTATATTTTTGGGGTTTTTTGTCTACCTGTTTGCTAGGATGAAACGGGCATTGGGTAGAAATCATGACAATCTTTTTCAGACAGTAGGATTTTTGTGTCTTTTTTAGATATCCAGCTTAGTATTACAGTTTTTAATACTAGACTTGTATAGATTCTTGGATGGATGCGTCTATACATGCAGTTGGTTGAAATGAAATACCCACTTAGTGGTAACAAGAATTATAAAACTAGCTATTCCTAAACTGGTTTTGGTACATGTGTACTTGTCATTGTTTTTCTGTTAGTAAAAGCCAAATCATATTCTTAGAGATAAATAAATTTTAAAATGTTATTTTAATCTGAAAAGGTAGATTAAAAAGCCATAAATCCATGACTGATTATAAATGACCAGTGTTTCCCCAAATAAAAAATAATGAATTTTAATGGAAGCAGCTCTGATCATTTGAAGTACATATAAAACACTTTGTCCCTAATGAGCTTAGATTTTATACCCTATACAGTATTTAATATTTTAGTTTAAGTTAACTACAACTTTTTATGCTGGAAAATCACATTGAATTGTTAGATCACTCCACACTTGTATCTGAATTCTTAGTGCCCATTAGATCCATGTCTCTTTAAACTCAACTGGTCTTAAATAATTTTTCTGTTATTTCTGTCCTATGAATTTAATAAAAGTGATTCTGAAAGTATGGTGCTTTTTTAACATTTTACTGAACTTCATTGATTTACCTTTTTTCTCCTCTGTTTTTTTTTTTCCTCTCCCCCCATTTTCTTTTTAAATAAATCAGCAAATGAAATAGATTCAGCTTCCTTATTTCCTATTTTAAAATGTTTTGGGGATCTGAATAACTGTTTGTTTGTTTGTTTGCTTGTTTTGAAGATGTTTTAGCATACGTAAATTTATTTCCTGTTAAAACCTTCACTATAATGTTTTTATACAGGCCTTGGATAAGAGCAACAGACTGTCGGAAAAGGAACTTGCAGAAGCAGCAAGCAAGTGGGCAGCTGAAAAGTCAGAGAAGACCAATGAAAGCAATTTACCTGAAATAACAGAGTATGATGTAAGACAGGATTAATAATAGATTTATTTTAAAGTATTACAACAATAGGTTCCTGGGTTTTTGTGCTCTTCTGAAAGGCACATTTTGTAACTTACCCCTGAATTTGTCTGCCTGTGATACTACATGTTTATTGAAGGGGTGTGAGAGGGAGATGAAAGCCATGTGATTTATTTATTCATATTTAAAAACACACAAAACAAGAGTAGGTTTTGTTAGTGTAATTTGAATTCATGTTAAGCTATAACTGACAAAATAAGGCTCCAGCTCTCCCAGGGATTCTCCAAGGAACTCTTCCACTGGTGTAAGTCTGTATGCCTACTGAACTCCTTAAAATCAGCAAGGGACTTTTGAGTGAAGAGTGTGTACATGTGAAAAAAGACTAGAAGAGAAACTCTGGTTTATTTAATTCAGTTCCATGCCATGTCAGCTTGCCATGTCATATATTCTTTTGCAGAAAGCAGTCCTCTTCCATACTAAAAATTAAGCTTTTGCCTTGGTACTGCAGTGGTTAATATTTTTTTTTCCCCCAGAACCTTTATTTCATTAATAATCAACATAAATTAATTGCCAATTTATACTCATCTGTTCTTGCCCCTCCTTGTCTTCTACCCCTTGCTATATTAATGTGATTATAGCTCTTTTCAGTCTTTGTTTTGTAGTGCTGCTCTTGCATAGGATGTGGTTTTTGGATTCTGCTGTTAGTGGAAGATGTATTTGGCATTTAAAACAAACCAAATGTCATGTAATGTCTTTTTGTAAAATAGTCTGGTTTAATTCTGTGATAATTTCATCTTCAACTTTCACTTTTCTTCAACTTTAGGGCCGCTCTTACAAAAAACAAAATAGTACCTACTTTACAAAGTCACATACTTTAACCTTCATAATTAATGGCTTGTATTTTATGTATGTTTGTAAATAATTTGAGGGAAAATAAAAGCATCTTGGGAAGCATCACATTTCCTCCTTGTATTTCACCCTTGTGGAACCTAACAGCCAGATTAAAGCAATAAATTTACTGAAATCCACATTTATCTAAACTTTTAAGTCCTGTCCATTGACGTAATGGTTGAGTGCATCAGCAGCTTCTTGATACTGGACAGGAAGATACAGTTGGATAAATAAACTGTTCATTTCCCTCCAGGAAAAATACGTTTTTATAAAAAGGGGGAGGGCTTGGAGTGAGGAAGAAGAAGCAGCGAACTGATCCAAGCATGAATGCCATACGGATGAGAACATACGCATGGACATTTCTGAGAGGTTCAGGAGAGTAACAGTGAAGAGAAATGTCACTCCTGTTCTTGATCAGGGGAAGGTAATGCAAGGGAGGAAAGAATAGAGTAGGCCATATGGAGAAGAGTTGTTTAAAACTTCCTCTGTGCTACAGAGAAAATTGGAGTGACAAAAAGATTAAAAATAAAATTTAAAAATGAAACAATTGCAGTTGATTATGTTAGAGTCTGAGCTGATTGATTAACTAAGAAAGTGTGCTACAGGAATGCTAATGAAGAAGGCGAGGCATCTCATTCCTAGGCTTATAAGAAAAGGATACTTCTCACCTTGATTAGTAGGTTGTCATGCATGAATTGCAGCAGTTTTTAACTTTTTCTAGTCTATCTTACATAGTGCTTAACAGTTGAACTCTGTGTTGCACTGAACTTTTAGCAGTCTTTACTCATTCTTGGACATGTCATGATTTACTGCAGTAACAAGATCTAGGATGCAATCTTAATGGTTTATATTGCTGTTAAGTTTTGAGCAGGTGCTCATAGGATCTCTTCAGCTTTTTATTATTTTTCTCTAATGCTTTTCTGTTTCACATTAAAGTCTTAAGATTCTCTTTATTTTTGAATAGTATAAAATATTTCTATGCATTTCCTTCAATTCTCAAATATTCTTTTTTAAATTACTATTCTACAAATCTGTTCCATAACGTTTAATTTAAATATGATGTAGTAATCTCTTCTGTTTTTACATCTTCTGTATAGACTCCGTGGAATGGCAGTCTCTTTTCTTTGGAGCAGGGATACTGCCTTAATTTCTGTTTTAGAGGGAAGCTTATACAGTTTTGGTACTTGAGTAAGATTTCTCGTATTATGAGGAATCCTCTAAGCACATGTTTACTTTTGCTATACAATAAGTATCTCTGTACCTTTTAATATTAAACCTGTGGTCCTGAATGCTGGAAGAGTTCATTCTGACGGTATTTTGATCTTGTCAGTGCCTGTTTACCTTTCATTTGTTACTCTTATCCTTTCCCAGAAAACTAATCCCACTTTCATTGTGGATTTTTCTTGCTAGCTAGTGTTAGAAATACCACATATACAAGTTCCTTCTCAGTGGAAGGGCAGGTAAAGGTTATCTGACATCATTGTCTTTACACAGTTAAGCTGGTCACAGTTTTTTATGGTATGTTTTCGACATGTTTAAAAACTATATTTCTATATCTGTCAGATTTTAGCAATAATACTCCACTAAAAGTCTTGATAAGCAAACTCATATATAACTGAATGACTGTATTTGGGTTTTTATTTTTGCTTTCACACTTTAAGATAACTTTTTTTTTTTTTTTTTTTTTATAAGGCTGGATCTTCAGCTCCATTATACATTGAACAAACAGAAGAAACAGAAACAAATATAACGGATAGTACAGAATTATATGAGGATGGCCAGCTTCTTGGTCGCTCAAAAGCAATTGCAACTAAGACAAAGGAGATTGAACAGGTGAGTCCTCTTGGCATTTTTTCACTGATACAGTACCTGTGTAATGGTTTGATCTGCTAGAAATATGTTGATTTATTTATTCCTTCTTCTTGGAGTGTAATATGAATGTAATCTGATTTCCTGAGATGATGTGATGATAACATCTCTACTTAATTCTGAAGAAGCATGGCATTTATCTGCATGTGAGAATTAGTGGTGGTTTTCTGTAACTTACATGCAATACCTGCTATTTTGCAAGCCAAGAAAATGACTGCTCTGAATAATTGTTTTAAAACTAAATAGAATACAAGTAATTTCAAATGTAATTAAAAAGCAAGGCTTTATGTGAGATCAAATTATCAAAAGTTACTTTTATGCTGTAATTTCTTAAATATATACAGTTTGGGATTGAACACTAGAAGCTGCCTGTTGGTTTGGGTTTCTTGGTGAGGTTTTTTTTTGGGTGTGGTTTGTTGGCGTTTTGTTTTGGTTTTTTTTAATCATCTTTGAATCTCAGTGCCTTTGTCATTCTCTTAAAATTCTCTGAAGAAAACTTCTTAAGTTTTACATTCACTATAGTGTTTTATATCTATATGAGGGAGGGATATTGTGTTCAAAATTTATATTCTTTTCTGTGTTGAGTACTTGGGGGATTGATTTAATATAAACCAAGATTTCTATTACTCTTGTAACATTGAGTTTTTGAGGAGGTTCAGTGGAAGTTTATTCATGTATTAGTCTTTAATATCATGGCACCTCACAGCAAGAAAATTATCTACAATAACCTTGAATTTTATTTGTCATAAACAGTCAAAGTATTTTGCTTCAATGTTTTTGTTACTTTAAATGGTGAGTTTGGAGAGTTTTCTGACTTGATCTTTCTGATGTAAATGCAACTATGCCCAGCTCTGGAAATTACATTTAAAGTTTATAATTTGGGAGGACAAAGAGATTACTTTTCTTCAAACTTGCTCTGATTTACAGTGTCTTCAGTGTAAGCCTGGGATGGGTGGAAGGGAAATCTGGATCACTTGTCCCCCTGATGATGATCTCATTATAACATCTTCAAGAAAATAGGTCTCTGGTCTTGTTCAAGATAAGCTTATTTTAGGTCTTCGTTTTCCATCTTAATTCTAGTGGCCTTTCTTCTGTTGCCTGTGAGCTCATTTCCTGTGCTGTAACACTGTTGTTGCTTTTTCTTGATGCTTGAAAAACAACTTTATACTCCACTGTTTTTTTTATTTTTCTTTAAAATTGACTTTGCATAATCATGTCCCTGGTGAGCATGGCTTTGCATGTGTGCTGGATCTGGCTGGGATGGAGTTAACCAGAGCATGCTGTAACTATGAGAGTCATGATGCAGATTGTTTATCCCTGTGTTTCTGATCACAGGTCCTACATGGCCTAAATCAGTTCCTGCCAAAGGCATAAACTTATGACTATTTAAAAATGACAAACTGAAAAAAGACTAGGAGCAGATTTTTAAAAATATGGTGATTGTGATTATTTAGCTTGATGCTGTTGAATTTGTGATTAGTTTATTTCCCCTAGGTCCTAAGTGAAAACATATGAAATTTGGGCATAAAAAACAAATGTTGCTTTCAGTATGATCTAATGTGATTATGTTTGCACTTATCTCTAAGGAAATCTAGATTATGTTCTGTAGAACAGAATACTTCTAGGAACTTAGCTCAGAAAAGCCTGAGGAATAACTTAAAAAGATTTGGTTTTTATAGAACCAGTTTCTCCTGTTGTTGATTTGAATAATGAAACTGTCAGCTTCTGCAGAATTAAAATAAGATTTTATAATGATATTGGAAGCATCTTCAATACATTTTATTCAGCTGAAAAAGATTTGTAGTTTTTTATAAAATCAGGTACCATGAATTTATTGAGAGCTAGACAAGATACGTATTTAATCATTTAAACATGACTGTAAAATGACCTATGTTTTTCGATAAATAAGTAACTTCTGCTTTGGCAATTAAAAAAATCCAGAAAATTTATTATGATAGTCCTGATGATTTTCATAATTGTGAAATGCTGTGAATCTTCCTACTGTATATGGAAGCAGTCTCTCTGTAGAAATTTATACAGTGTTCTGTTGACTTTGAGTTGTCAGCATCTGAAAGTGAATTTGTTTTATTTCTGTGTGGCTTGAGTCCTCTGCCATTGACAAGGAATGAGAGAGGGAGCAGAGGATGGAATGGAAAGTGAATTTGCAGTCCTGTGGTGAACTGCTTACTAAAGCTTTTTTGGATCAACTTCTCAATATAATTTATACTGATTTTACTACTGTTTAACTGAAAGTATGCTTCTGGTTTTTGCACAGTAAAATTAACATGCAAATTTAATACTATCACTAGTCATGCTATATTGTTTATATAGATGTAACATTTAAATCTTAAAAGTGAACTGTAGGCTATAGTGCACTTGAGGAATAGGAAGACTAATGTGATAAATATAGAATACATTTATAAGAAAGCTTTTTCATACTTTATTTCTGATTATTTATCTTAGAGACTCAACAGCAGAATAATTTTTTGTTCTGTGGACTTTTTTCCAGTTGAATTTCATTCAGGTGTTTCCAATAGCTTCTGAATACCTAGTTTTAGTGTATTATTTCTGGAATGTAGTTTTGTGGAAGGATTACTAAAATAAAATACTTACTGCAAAGAGTTATGCTGCAAAAATGGTGTAGCTGTAAACCTTCTGCAAAGCAAGATTCCTGAAAGATTGGTTTTCCGTCTTCACTGGGCAGGTATTAAAGTATTTAAAATAAATAAAGAAATCAATCTGTCAATTAATCAGGGTAGAAGTAACTTCTTGTGCGACTAGGTATGTGTCTGTGATTTGGTGAGGGTTTAGCCAGTGTTTGAGAAAGTGATGCTAGGTTAGAAGGCTTGACCTATTAGACCTCTTCTGTCCTCCCAGGTTTTTCTGCTTTCTCTTGGAGCACCAGATCTAGTGATGTTTACTTTTCAGTTCATATTTATTCTTATATTGATTCCAAGGTATTATTGCTGTTCCATAGTCCTGATAAAGCTGTATTTGGTTTGTCCTCTCCATATGCATCTGTCTCCAAAGCTTCAACTAGGAAAAAGAGCAAAATTTTCTAAATATGTACTTTTACTTCACAGTATGGTAAAACTTCAGGTAGATGCACAGACAAAAAAAGGCTGTGCTGACTGAACATGTACAGTGTTGCAATGAGCAAATTCATTGCTGTACAGCAGAGAAACGGGCAGCCAAAAGCCCTAAGTGGAAGAAGGGAGGTGGCAGCTTGTGATACAGTCTGTTACTTCTCTTAAGAAAAAACAACCACAAAACCCCTTAAGCAATTGAATGAAATATTCATACAGGTGTTCTGTTTAAATAAATCCATCTCTGTATGTTATGTATCACTCATACCACTCTTCTGTAAAGTTGCCTCTAGCTTTCCTCCAAGTTACAGTGACACAATCGTCAAAATCAGAATTTTAAATGTAATGTGATTGTAAATGGTCGCTCTGGCTCATCAACAAAATGTTTATATATTATTTGTTTGATGGGGGACTTATTGCAGGCATTCATGTAAAATCATGTAATTTGAAGAAAAATAAAATTCTTCGTGTGCTGACTATGACAGGACAAAGATTGTGAAACACGTACTGTTTGCTATTTAGTAACCATCTTTTAAGAGTCTGCATTTGCTTTGCAAGTATTAACTGAAGCTGACATAAAGAGAGGAGAACAGAAGTTGTGCTCATAGATAAATGATTGGAAAAATCCAGACACAGTTTGAACAGAGCCAAGAATTACCTGTATGACACCCAAACTAGAAAAACTCCAAAGTGTATATTTAATCTAAAGTCTGCTGGTATTACTTGGAAGGAAGAACATGGTTGAAGATGCACGGGCACTTCAGAACATTGCTGACCTGGGACTGCAAATCCTGGTAGACTCTGGTCTCATCAGGCATAGTGACAGTAGCCTTCTGCAGATTGGATGGGACCTCACCTGGGCCAGTCTTCTCTTGAAACAGGGTGTTAGATCAGGTCATTCAGGGCTCTGTCAAGTTGAATCCTGACTATTTCCAGTGAAGGAGACTACTGTTTCTCTGGGCAGCCTTTTTCAGTGTTTCGCTGCTCCCTTTCTGAGCTCAGCTGCCATCACAGTCTTGCACAGTCTTCTTCAGAACATGCTTGCTTTCTACCAAGGACAGAGTTTCTGCTCCCTGCTCCTCCTAGCAGTTTCCGGTCCCCATCCATGAGCTGTGGAGTCCCAGCTCCTTGCCATGGTCCCCTGCTTTTGGCTGGCCTCACCTGCCTATCAGAACCTGCTCAGGGGGCTCAGCTACTCTCAGGGGAAGGGTTGAGTTCCTGGGACCCTCTGGCCCGGACACGCTGTGTTTGGTAGAGCAGGATCTTTTCTGGCACTTCCACAGGGCAGGTACTGGGAAAACTGATCCCTTCCATACTGGTGCATCTTCTTTTCCAGCTTTGTGCCTCTTTGCACTGAATGAAAATTCTGCAGCATTAACATGTGTCTCATGTTTTAATATATCCTGTGAAGTATAGGGTCTAGATCCATGGTGTGGCTTTTGATGTCCTATTTGTAAGCAATCAGAAAATTTGGAGAGTTTTCAAACACAAAAATAGTGGGTTGCTTTGTTTTGGTTTTAAGCTAGCCTTTGAACATGCCTTTCCCTCTTTCCTCCACAATTATAATTTTGAAATTTGATGTTATATGTTGTCTTAGCATGATGCAATAGACGCCCATTCAATAGGTGTTTAAAAGATTGGTCTGGGTACTTGAAAACAGCATAGCAGAGAATTTTGTATTAGAATGTCAAGATGAATGAATGTCCATAGGTTGCTGATGTAACAATTTAACTTCTTTATATTTTTACATTTAATAACATGAAATATACATTAAAGTATTGTTTTGGAGTTTAATTTCTCTTCTTACGTAGTTAAGGATCAGCTTATGCTTTTAGCCCATAATGTGCTGAAGTGTGGGTTTTTTTGGAAGTGATGACA